GCAAAGAATTTATAATGTAATTAAGAGGTAAGAAAAGTTTTATAAAGGGGGGGGGGGAAAAAAAAGAAACGAATTAATTACTTATATAAATGTAAAAAACGAACAATGAATAAGATCACGTTATATGAATAATAAACAATAGAGATTAAAAAGGGATTTCGAGGGAAGAGGCAAATTCGGAGTGCGTCCGTTAAAAATGAAAGGGATTTGATTTATAAAAATCTCAAATTGTTTAAGTTTTTTCCGAAGATGAAAAAAAAAACAAGGAGATCAAAATAAAAAAATCAAATCGAATTATTTTAATCTGAAATTAAATTTTAAATCGTTAGACACACAAAGAATAGTAAATTATCTTCAATAATTTAACTTGCGGAATAGTCGAAAATGACGAAAGGGAATCAAGGATTCACGAATGAGGTTAAGTTCATTAAACCAAAATCGTAACCACTAGAGATGATTTTTTATTGAAAATAGAGGAGGTTTTATATTATTATAAATCCAGGATATAAATATGTACCTATTGTAAAAATAATTTTAAATTAATTGAAATAATTGTGCAGATTTTTTTTGATTTATAATAATTAAAATAAAAAAAGAAAGAAAAAAATGGAAAGATAATTATTTATTTATTGATTTCGCATGTACAGCGTTTAGCATTTCTTAATTTTTTTTTTTCCTGCAAGGCACCGATACTTAAGTGCTAACCTGTTTTTTATCTGAAAGCTTCTTTCTGATATGACCAACGTTCAAATATCAAATAAAAATAATCATCCTATTTTATGCATAAATAAAATATATATATGTATATATATATAAATATATATATATATATATACACATAAGTATATATATATGTATTATATATATATATATATATATATTTATGTGTATATATATATATATAATATATGAAAATATAAAAAAGGTGACAAGAAAAAAAACATTTTATAAATAGTTAGTTAATAAAGTAAAATTAATTGAATGAAAATATTTAGGGGAGGAAAAAAAAAAGTAAAAAAAAAGAGGTAAATAAGTTTGGTATATAAAACACAATTTTGTTTAGTGCTTAGATGATATCATTTTTGCCAACTATAATCATAAAAATAAAAATTCTTGTACATCGGTAAACAAACAATTATTTTATTTTATTTATTTTATTATATAAATTATTAGTATTATAAATACTGAGTTATTATAAATACTGAGTTATTATAAATACTGAGTATTATAAATACTGAGTTATAATATAAAAAAAAAATCTCATAATATCACACTATTTTTAAGTGATGATCAAAAGATATGTTCGATCACGTAATCTTAAGAATAATAAAATTAAGTTATGAAAAAAAAAAAAACCAGGTAAAGACGAATTGTTCGCTTTCGCAATTTTAAATCTGAGATTTAATATTCTTTATCTGATAACTCGTCATACATGCATTTAAAAAATAACGAATCAATAATAATATTTTCGGCTTAACAAAAAATTTAACGGAGAAATAACGTTAATATAAAACATGTTAAAAAAAAATTAAAATAAATAAAAACACGTTTACATTCCTTAAAACACAATGTACTGTACGTCTTATTTATTATTATTTACATTACAATGTGTTAATATCCGATTTGTCAAATGATTATATAATGTTATAATATTTAAATTTTCAATTCTTTTTATTGGTTTTACTTTTTGATTTTCTCCTTAAATTATTACTGCTTTTTATTTTTTTATTTTTTTATCCCATCCCATTTTTAATTAATAAACCAAAGGGGGGATCTTTTGATGATGTCAAAATCGAATTATTTATTAATTAGTACAAACAAGGTAAACAAATCATAATAGAAATAACACAATAGGTTTTTCATTATTTCTAAATAATAATCGAATGATGATTTTTTTTTTAAAATACTTCAATGGTTTTTATTAAAAATTAATAATCGTTATTATTAATTTATAATTATAGTTTTTATTATGGCACAAAAAAAAATTTTTCAATTGCTTTCCTGTAAATGGATAACTGAGAAACCGCGATTTTTTTGAGAGATTCTAGAAATCTAAAAATTTCTCATTAAAAAAATAAGATGCAGATTATAAATAATAAGTATATTACAAACAAAAAACCAAATCAAGAACTAACTTTGGATTACATATTATATTCAATTAGTGGTACCGTGTCCTTCTCCATGGACCCAAAATTATTATTTATTTATTTATTTATTTATTTATTATTATTATTATTATTATTATTATTTATTTTTGGCGTTTGTCAGATCATTACCTTAATGACATAATTTCATAATTTTTGGATATTCAGCAAAAAAAAAAAAACCAATACAAATTAGTTATGTTAGTTAAATTAAAAAAGAAGGGACGCGAGCGTGGCTATTCATCATGTGTTACAGGAAAAATTTTTTGTTCACGTGTCATAAATTTTTATTTTTAATTTAGGCCGTAAATCTGTTTGTAAATCTATGAAATCATCAGATTTTGGAAAACGTTGTCACCCTATTAAATTTATTATACACAATGTGAAATGTTTTCCCATTGTAATTAAATTCTCGATTTTTTGGTTTCACATATATAAACTTAATTCCCAATGTTAATATTAAAAAAAAAAATTTTTATTGGTTAATAATAATGTTTGGCTGAGGGACAATATCCCCCCCCCTTTTTATAGAGATCTCACATTTTATTTATATAAAATTATAATGTATATGTATAAAAAAAAAAGAAGGTAATTAAAATAAGGGGCTCATTTTTTTGTGATTTTTACAATCACGTGAACTTTATAACAAAAATTAATGAACTCAAAACTCAATAATCCCCGGTTTATTTATTTATTTATTTTTATTTTTTTTTTGATGAGAAAATTTAAATAAAAAAGAATTAAATATTTTATCCGTATTCCTTTTCTCAAATCTAACCATCTTATAACAAAGTTACAAACCTATTTTCTTGTTCCCTTTTGATTCTTCTTATATTACTTATGTAAGATATTACATGTGATCTTAAATTTTATTTCTTTTTAAAACTAAAAATTCATAGAACGATTTAAATATCCCTTTGAGAAGTTTATCTTTTCGAATGAAAACGGTTTCATATATTTTGGATGGGTAACTGTTTATATATACATTTCCAATGACACTTAATAACGGAATTTTGNTTTTTTTTTTTTTTTTTTTATAATCACGTGAACTTTATAACAAAAATTAATGAACTCAAAACTCAATAATCCCCGGTTTATTTATTTATTTATTTTTATTTTTTTTTTGATGAGAAAATTTAAATAAAAAAGAATTAAATATTTTATCCGTATTCCTTTTCTCAAATCTAACCATCTTATAACAAAGTTACAAACCTATTTTCTTGTTCCCTTTTGATTCTTCTTATATTACTTATGTAAGATATTACATGTGATCTTAAATTTTATTTCTTTTTAAAACTAAAAATTCATAGAACGATTTAAATATCCCTTTGAGAAGTTTATCTTTTCGAATGAAAACGGTTTCATATATTTTGGATGGGTAACTGTTTATATATACATTTCCAATGACACTTAATAACGGAATTTTGTAACATTTATTTTGTTTTATTTTATTTTCCATGAAACTCTTAAATAAATCTATGGCGTTTTTTCCTGTAAACCTAATCAAGAATTTCAATATCATCGAAACTTAAATTATTATAAATTCTCATGTTCACGTGATCCGTTTAAAAATACTGTTTTAGTCCTCATTGGATATATTCATAATCATAATTTTCATATTTCGTAATGCATTGACATGAGATTAAGTTTCAAAATATTGGCGAGAAAAACTAGAAATCCGCCAGTATCGTTTATCATCACTATTTTAATAACAATGTTTCCTTTGT